GCAGTTTTGGATTTGGACTCTCAAGAAGAAAGCTGCTCTGGGATCTCTTGGCTTTGGTGACAGTTGTCACCTAGAGGATTAGAGGCCATGGTGGACTGTGGAAATGTTACTGGAAGTTTTACAGGCATAATCTGGGTGCTCTGGCAGCCCCAGCAAGCTAGGCTCAGCCTCTCCTCCCTAATATTCCACTTAAAGATATTTTCACAGATAATACAGAGAGAAGAAATATTTTCAGTGTTGCCAACAACTACCCTTAAGTCCATCTCTGTGTCCTGACAGGAGGTTTGGGTTTAAATACAGGGCAAAGAGTCTAACTACGCAGACCTAGTCGGTGTGTGGACTTACCCAGCAGTGACCTTCTACTGTCTCAGCTCATCTCGTTACAAGGTGCTAGGGTAAGGGGACAAGGTCCTTTGGGGAAGGATGGGGGCGGGGTGATTATCCCCTGGCTGACACCCGGATTCAGCCTTTTCCTTCCTGTGTGGAATTCCTGGGGAAAATGTAATTCTTTGTTGTCCGTTGTTTCCATAGTCTGATGGCTGAAGCATCCCCTTTAGATTTTCTTCTTCCGGGACTGTTACAGAGTAACTTCAGCATCAGCGCTCTGCGGGCATCACTGTTACATAGTTGCTTGTACTGACTGAATAGGTCTTAGTGACCACATCCTTTACGGTCAGAGAAAGCCCATCCTGAGCTCCAGGCTTCCCGCTTCTTGGCTTTGTTCCCTCTCGTGGATGGCATCCCGAAGGGCATGCAGCCTGCACTTGGCTGCGACCGAAGCAGAGGTCCTATGCTGAATGCTTAATCCTTCGGCAGGGTTCCAGGTACCCTCATTTTCAATGCCTCCTTTCAGTTCCGCGGAGCCAGTGTGCAGCTTCAGTAACAAAGGAGACTGACAGTCAGGGCTGGCTGATCTCACGCTGCCCACCAACGAGTAGAGCAACAGGATACACACCCTCTCTGCTGCCCAAGGCCCATGCTCCCCCGACCCCCACCCCCACCCCCATATCATCCCTATCTCCAGGAAGGAGGATCAGCCACCTGTAAGTGTGAAGCTTACTCCGTGAGCTGCCTCACGTGGGGCTCAGCGGTGTTGAGCCTCAGAGCCTGGCTGCTATGTTCCTTGTAGCTTCCCTTCTTTGCCCCTCTGCCCTCTGTCTCCATCTTTTTCTCTCCACCCCTCTCTGCTGCCCCCCATTCCCTTCCCTTCTCCCCCCAAGGTCTTTTGATCCGTGGTCTTCAGCCATTTGAATGCAGTGTCTACCTCTGCAGTACATTCCCCTGACAATCTACAAGAGACTGCATCCCTTACCTCCGGGAAGAGTTCCTCTGCCTTCTCTGACTTCCCGGGCAACTGTCTGATGCCTCCTGCTGGTATGTGACTACAGTTGCTGGCACTCACTTGGTAAAAGGGAGACCCCAATAATCACACTTTTCCATAAAATTGCCTCCACAGCCCCTGCCTCCCGCTCACTTAAGTACCTCAGGAGACACCTCTGTTCTTTTTTTCTCATCCAGTTTTTTCTTTTCTTTATTTGTTTTAAATGGAAGATTCATTTCCTCATTCTGACTGGAAACTTTTCTGTGCTCTCTTGCCCTCCACCCCCCCCCCCCCGTGTTTTCCACCCTGATTTCCGATGGAGGTGAATGGAGGGGACAGAAAAAAATGTGGAAAGTGAGCCAGGCGAGGAGGAAAGAAGCTGCAGGATGGATGCAGTAAAAGTGGATTGGCCTGGGCCGATGTGAGTGACCCAAGGATACACTGTTCGTTTATGTGATGGAGGACACCCAGATGATTCTTTCCGTCTGCACGGGGTGGGGAGCATCCTTTTGATCCAGATGGGGAAAGTGGCGACGCCAGGGGTGGGGTCAGGCTGAGGTCAAACTGGAAAGCTGCTGCCTGCCCACCCTGCAAGGCCACGGGCCTTGAAGCGATCAGGTTATGGATGAGCCAAGGTCAGCAGGGTTAAGAGAGTGAGGAACCCTCATGGCTGGCTTTCTAGTCCCAGTCATACTTCTGGGAGCCATGCCCTGAGGTCCTGTGAGAGGATACTTTTCCCCTCTCTTGCTGTGAGAGGATACTTTTCCCCTCTCTAGTGCACATTTTGCTCCGAGTCAGGGTCACCCTTAGGTTGGCTACCCACTGGTGGGAACCACTGTGCTTGGCTCACGCCTGCTTGGCCACCAGCAGTGGGGATACGGAGCAGTCGCCAAGACTCTTGACAGGACTTTCTTCTCTCTGTTCTTTTGGGAGATGGAGCCAAATTGAGGCCACTCATTCTGTTATCTCTAGGAAATCAACCCAGGGAGTCATTTGTCACCCTGGACCCCGCTGTGGCGGGGATTTTTCTAGATTGCCACTAATGAAGTTCCCTCTTCTTTGCTTAAGATGGCTGTGCACAACCAAAAGAAGTCTGAACTGACAGGGCAAACAGCTCCACGGGGAAAGAGCCTAAGATTAAAGGCCTAGAATGTTCTGTGACTTTAGCTCTGGGGAGGTGAAGGCAGGAGGGTCAAGAGGTCAAGGTCAAGAGGCTAGCCTTGGCCACTGCAGACCTTTGTGTCTCAGGGGTGGGAGTGGGTGAGAGTGGGGGTGTGCAGCGGTGGGGGTGAGTTAGGGGGATGGGGGAAGGAGCGGGGGAGGGGAGAGTGAAATCAGACATGTGAGACAGAGAGAGAGGGGAGCAGTAGAGGGCGGTAGGTGCAACCAGCCAGTCTTGGCCCCCCAGAGTAGCTGAGAATTATCTCCCCACTGCACCACCAGAGACTCCGCCCAGGAACTTGAAGACACAGCTTATAACGACCACACCAAGGAGAGCAGTAAGCCTGCAGGATGTAACTCTTATGCCCCTGCCCAGCCCCAGAAACCCCCTGGCAACCGTCACCTGCCTTCGCTGGTCTGTTTTTTCCTCAGCCCTGGGATGGGAAAGGCCCCACTCTTCCTGATTTCATCTTCAAGACTCAGGTGACTGCTGGTCTCACACTTTCTCTCCCTCTAGTGAGCACCACCACCTCCCTGGTCAGGGTCCCCTTTCTTTGTCGAGTCTGTGATGTCACGAGAGAGAAGAACGGCAGCTATAGTAGTTGCTTGTAGATTCCTGAGATCTAGTACCTCACAGAGGCACTTAAGATTTTCCCTGGGTTTACTTTGGCTGGCAGTTTTCAGTGCATGGTGTTGGGGAAGGATGGCGGAGCAGCTCCGAGATGGCAGAGGAGCTCAAGATGGCAGAGCAGTTCTGAGCTGACAGGAGCACAGAGGAGAAAGGAGTCAGGGCTGAGGAGATGGCTTAGCCCCACAAGCCCAAGGACTTAATCCCTAGGATTCACATAAAAAGCAAGGTAAGATGTTGGTGCATGCAGTTCCAGTGCTAGAGAGGAGGAGGAAGGCTGAACCTGGGACTTGCTGGACTGCCAGCCTAGCCTACTGGGTGAGTCTCAAGCCAATGAGAGATCCTGTGTCTCAAAAGTCAAGGTGGAATGAATGGAAACGTTTGGTTTCTTTGGAAAGTCGGCTATGTCAAATGAGGTTTTGCTGGGGCACACAGGTGAAAGAATGTTTTGCTACAGTAGACACGTGAAAGGACACATGATGTTTAGAAGGAATATAACTATGACCCCACAGTGGATGCCGCTGGATGGTATTGGTTTGTCTTACTGCCCTTTACTGGTCATCATCTGTTGTAACTTCATGGAGAGCACCAAAAATCTTCTGATGGTGTTCTGGCGGCTTCTTGCCCTTCTGTGGATTGGGCCAGTTGGCAGAGTGAAGTGGAAGTTTCTGGATATGTCAGCTGACACAGACTCATGTGGAGCTCTGGTAAGGCAGACTCACATGCCTTTGGGAGGACACATGATGTTTGGAGGGAGTCTAGACAGGACACAATGGACAGTGACAGTGGTGCTTTGCCATGCTTCGTTGGTCTTGTGTCTTCATCTTCACTGACATTCATTTGGTTGAGAGAGGCACGACACAGAATGTCTCCTGGCATCCCTGTTGGTCCTGGTTGCTTCTGATGACTCCTGGTGATTCAGCAGAGGCCTGGCTGTTTCTGCTGAATCTTGTCACCACTGCTGATTTATGTTTGCTATTCTGACACTACTAAGCTGGACTGCTGGTATCCTGACAGATGGAGATTGGAACTACCTGAAGGAACCACTTCTAAACAGCCTACAGGAGAGCCTCTCGGTTTCTCCCTGATCGACCTGCTGTTGCCGATTCGTGAATGGTGTTTGCCAGTGGATTGAGCTGCTGCTGCTGACTTGTGTGAACTGCACGGCTGATATCCTGACAACGCAGATTAGACTTGCTCCAAAGAACTATTTCTAGACAGATCCACATCCTCCTTTGCTTTATTAAACTTTCCTTTCTACTACCTCTGGTGGGTGGCGGGCTAGATGGGAGGGTACAACATTTAAGAACCCTTCTTCTTCTTTTTTTTTTTTTTTGTGGTTTTTCGAGACAGGGTTTCTCTGTGTAGCCCTGGCTGTCCTGGAACTCACTCGGTAGACCAGGCTGGCCTCGAACTCAGAAATCCGCCTGCCTCTGCCTCCCAAGTGCTGGGATTAAAGGCGTGCGCCACCACCACCTGGCAAGAACCTTTCTTAAAAGAAGGTTTTGAAAACTCTAAGCCAACAGTGGAAGGCTCCTGAGGATGACACATGAAGTTGGCCTCTGGCCTTCTATATGCACATGCACACCTGTACACACATGCTCACACACACTCACACACACACACATACACACACATACACACACACTCACACACATGGGGGGTGTGTGTGTAGGAGGGAGTAGAAGGATTTGGGGATAAAATACAGCCCAAGACTTGCCCAGGACACCCACTTCCTCCAGAAAGGTCCTATCTCCTTACAGTTCTATACCTCAATAAACAGAACCATCCGTGGGGACTAGGTATTCAAGTGCTCTAGCCTACGGGAACATTTCAGATTCAGAGGTTGATCACCTTGATCCTATCCCCTAAACCCCAGCCCAGGCTCACCTGACTCCTCACAGGAATCGTCAAACTCCACCTGGAAGAAGTAACCAGTGTTCCAGAGGTATCTGCAGGATGTAGCATCATAGGAGACCCTGAGCGGTGCCAGCTGCGGGTCATAGACACTGTCCTTCCACTGGATGTTAATGGGAGACTGCCGGGTGCCTCCCAGTGAGGACACTGGGCCAGTCCAGAGGGGGTGCCCTGGAGACAGAGAGCAGTCAAGATTGAAGGGTCAGTACGGCAGTCAAAAGGGACCCTGAGGACCCAGCTCTGAAAACCCTGGAACCTTCTGTCACTCAGCTATGAACTGTGTGCAGGCTCTTGGCTCAGTCCCCTAGTCTGTGCCCATGTGATCTTGACTTCTGTGTGGTCACTGTTTAGCACAGTGGTTCTCAGCCTCCCTAATGCTGTGACCCTTTAATACAGTCCCTCATGCTGTGGTGACCCCAGCCATAAAATTAGTTCCATTGCTACATCATAACTGTGATTTTGCTACTATTGTGAATATATCTGATATATGACCTGTATCAAAGGGTTGTTTGACCTCCCCAAAGCGGGCGTGACCATAGGTTGAGAACCACTGGTCTACAGTGTGGCTGGTAAAGAGAAGGAAAGAGATCTCTCACTCAATTCAGTGATAGGAATACTGTCCCAACAGCTGCTGTTGGGACAAGCAGGGACCTAAAAAGTTCCAGAGAGCAGCTAGAGGCAGAAGCAGTGGGGAGCTGGGTTGGTGGAGCAGAGCTGAGAGACTGTAAACCCCAGTTGCTCAAAGAATTCCAGGAAGGTGCCATGCCTCAGGCATCAATAGTTCCGACCCCTGAGCCCCCGGAACTGAAATGCTGGTAGCTATAAGAAACAAAGTTCCCCTAGCCGGGCAGTGGTGGCACACGCCTTTAATCCCAGCCCTTGGGAGGCAGAGGCAGGCGGATTTCTGAGTTCGAGGCCAGCCTGGTCTACAGAGTGAGTTCCAGGACAGCCAGGGATACACAGAGAAACCCTGTCTCAAAAAAACAAAAAACAAAAAACAAAACAAAAAAAGAAAGAAAGAAAGAAAGAAAGAAAGAAAGAAAGAAGGAAAGAAGGAAAGAAAGAAAGAAAGAAAGGTAGGTCCGAGGTCAAGAGCCACCCAGAAGTTGTAGCGTGCTCAGGTGCTGTCTGCTGCTGCTCTCTGCCGTAGGATTAGATCCTGGGATGCTGGCAGTGAAGCCCCAGAGCAGTAAGCCCCCACCTTGAGTACCCACAGCCATCATCTCTTGGCTGTCATGGCTTGGAGCTGTAAGCTTCTGGGGCCAGCAGCTTAGTGTCTTAGTCCTTGGCACTCAAGGGCCTGGGGCTGCCAGCCTCCTCCCTCCCGCCCACTCAAAATATCTATTTGAGTGGAGTGGAGGTATCCCGACAAGCTGATAGGTGACAGCCCCACGGGTTACAGACATGGAATATACTCTGGCTCTTGTCCTCGTCTCACAGCCCAGCAAAGATGTGACCCCCACCATGAGGTGATGCTTAAATCTGTCTCCCAAGCTGGTCCCAAAGAGCTCTTCAGACCGCTCCTGCTCCTGCCCATGTGTACCTCTTCTTGTGATAACAAGACTCAAGAGCCACCACAAGCAGCCTGGAATGTCACAGCCACCAGGGCCTTGTCCGTGTGTCCCTTTCCTGGTTGCCACTCTAATGCGAAGTGACACCTTTGGTCTGTGTTCTATTGATTTGATTTGATTTTCTGACACAAGATCTCTCTGTGTAGCTCTGGCTGTCCTGAAGCTTCCTATGTAGACCAGGCTGGCCTTGAGCTCACAGACATCCCCTTGCTTCTGCCTCCTGAGTGCTGGGATAAAAACTGTGAGCCACTAAGTCTGGATTATCTGTGTTCCATTAAGAGGGTCTGGGAGCCAGCACAGACCTTGACTACATCTGGGGTAAGAGAGACTCCTCAAGAGTTTCACGTGCTACAAACCGTGCATTTGATCTTCCCACTGGGCGGTGGGTGTTTAACACAACTGCGGAAGGCTGCATTTAAACCAGATGCAGGAGCGTCAGAAGGCCCTACCACAGGCTGTCCTCCAGCCTGGCAGCTCTGGCTTCCCTGACTCAGAAACCCAAGGTGTGAACAGAGCAGATATTTTAGGACCCGTTTGGTGAGCTGTGTGAATGAGACCACCAAGCGGGAAACATCTATACCGAGCACAACATCTGCCACCCAGTGTGGGAGGGGGGAGGGGCTGCTTACTGTGTATGCAAAGTGAATCCGTAATGAGTCTCAAATGATGGCTCACCCTGGCCTCCTGTGACCACCTTACATAGCGAGGCAAGGCTCGAGCTAGGTAAGGTTGGCCTTGTGGCCCTGCGTGCCGGAGCTTGCTCTTAATTCCAACACTGGGAGGCAGAGGCAGGTGGATCTCTGCGAGTTTGAGGACAGCCTGCTCAGCAGAGTGAGACTCTGTCTCAAAAACCATGCATCATCATCATCATCATCACCATCATCACCATCATCACCATCCTCCTCCTCATGGCTATCATAGTAGGTTGGTTTAGTTTCAGGTGGAGAATAATACCAACGAGACAGACTTTCTCTCTTTAATCATTTAACAAAGCTGTGCGGCGCTCCAGCGGACCAACTGTGGCCTGGGCACAGATGGTGTGAACTGACAGTAGAATCAAAACCCCGGCTCCAGAGCTAACATGGCGATGAGAGTAAAGACCTAAAAGGACCTCTTGTTTCATGAGCTTCCATTCTCTGGGTCTGGTGACCAATCAGCAGACACCTTCCCCTCGACCCTCTTAGGAATGGTAGTCCCCAACCCCTCTGTCATGGGGTGTGGCCCCTGGCAACTTGCTTCCATTTGGGATATCAGTAAATATCAGTTTATATAGGATATAAACAGGAGCTTTATTTTAAGATTTTATTTATTTATATTTTGTTTTGTTTTGAGTCAGATCTTTCTACATAGTCTGGGCTGTCCTAGAACTCGCTATGTAGACCAGGCTGGCCTCGAACTCACAGAGACCCACCTGCCTCTGCCTCTTCTGGCTGAGGAGGGGTTTCAAATGTTTCCATGGCTTTCCATGAGGAAACTACACCCCAGTGGGGATGGGAGTGGGGTGGGATGAGGGCATTGGGGTGCAGGAGAAATGCACTGTACAGATGTGGACCACGCACCCCCCCCCAGCTGGGATTTGGCCCCACCTGAATGAGCCAAACCCAGAAAGACCCACCGACTTGTGAGCCTGAAAAAACCTATTAAAAGGTTCGTGCTCAGCCAGGCGGTGGTGGCGCACGCCTTTAATCCCAGCACTTGGGAGGCAGAGGCAGGAGGATTTCTTAGTTTGAGGCCAGCCTGGTCTACAGAGTGAGTTCCAGGACAGCCAGGGCTACACAGAGAAACCCTGTCTCGAAAAACAAAACAAAACAAAAAACCAAAAAGGTTCGTGCTCAAGTATCTTTACCCCAGCACGCTGGAGGCAGACAGGTGCATCTTGGGATTTAAGGCCAGTGGGGTCTACACAGAGAGTCTCAGGCTAACTTGAGAGTTCTGTGATACATAGTGAGACCGTGTCTCAACCAAACTGACCCAAGACTTCCAGGGACACTCAGCCAGGGGCTGACAACAGTTGGCACTTGGTTCTCCTGGACAGTTAAACCTTTGTGTAGAGGGGTCCACCTGCCTGGATGTTTGCAGAGGGAGGAGGACAATCTTGTGTGTCATTTCTCAGGTGGCGGTCATCTTTTCTTTGCCCGCCCTTCCTTTCTTCCTTTCTTCCTTCCTTCCTTCCTTCCTTCCTTCCTTCCTTCCTTCCTTCCTTCCTTC